AAATATTTTATATTTGGTATATAAAGAAAAAGAATATGAATTGTATCAAATGATAATTTATGATATAAATTATTGAGAAATTCTTCTAATAAATGATTATAAGATGATGATGATGATGATGGTGGAAGAATATGACGATTTTGATACAAAAATGTTACATGAAAAGAAAAGAGATGTGAACATGCTTGAAGAACTAAAGAAATAATATTTGAATCAGTAGAAGTTATATATAAAGTATGAAGAGAAAATGATTGAAATTTTGAAAAATTTGCAATAGTATCCAAACAACTTAAATTGTCAATAATGAAGAAAACGAAAACCATTTGAAAATATTTCTCGTATTAATTCTAATGCTAATGAAATATGAAATAGAGTTTTTATTGTAAGATAAATCAAATTACGGATTATATCAGATCGCATTTGTTCTAATTGATTTTCACTTGTTTGACATAATTCTAATGAATTTAAATTTGAAAATTGACTTAAATCAATATATTGTGAATTATTAATTTTTAATCGAACAATTTAATGAGCAAATATTTCAATTGATAATGAGTTATGTTTTTTAATAATTAAAACAAAAATTTTAATGAACGAAGAAGATTATTAAATCGTTGATTTATTTCCCAAAAACTATGATGTAAATTTGAAATATCAAAATATATAAAAACATCATTTAATAATTCATTTGGCAACGGTTCTAATTGAGTTGACATATCTACAAAATAAAAAGATTATTTTATTTCTTACAAATTTAAGACAATGATCATTATTTCAGACAATTCGAATGAAAGATATGTATTAATAATAATTTAGACAGAGAGAACATAACTATGAATTATTAATTAAAAGGTAGAATTTCTCATTTGTATCCTCATACATTCAAGAAGCAATCGAGAGAAAATAACTAATGAGCAGTGCTTGTCGAATTCAAAATTTTCGAACTCAGGCTCAAATACTTTGATATTTTCAATGAAATTTTCTTATCGGAATACGATAACTACTCCGAAGATACGAGATAATTTTTTCCGATTTTTGTATCTGATGACCAGTTTATTCTACACATTTCTTAAACAAGTCGTCTGAGAAATGTATAAGGTAAAGCCCATCAAGTGTAAAGTTTTTAGATTCGGACCCCGGGGGGGCTCTATTGACAATAAAACTTCACCAGGTGTCAAGTCGATTTTCCACGTGGCCTACAAGGCACTACAGATTTTCGTTGAAAAAATCAAGTCATATTTCGATATCTTAAGAACGAAGGTCAGAAATATGAAACCATTCTATACTTTTCTATTATCTTCTAGCACTCGTAAAATGAAGATCGTCTCAGTTGAAAAACGATTTAACACTTTGAGTGATTACATCGTAAGCTATTGATGAAAACTGTATTAAATCTATTTTGGGTTTGATTCTAATATCGTTTTAGATAAAATCTAATTCCAGCTAAAAAAAACTTGAAAACTGTATTATAAATTCGATCGATATGCTATTCGAATGTTGGGTATTGCAGGAATAGATACAAAAACAATTCAGAAGAAACTTATAATAGTATTGGAACTTGAAAATCCATCGTATCTAATAGTTGGAAGATGAATGAAGCGTCTTAATGAAAGACGACAAGATATAAATGATGAATATCGATTTAGTTGTCTCGTTTCCAAGCTTACAGATATAAATATTGAACTATACGATAGGTTATCAATAAGGATCCATATTTAAAATATGATGATACTGTAGCTGAAACTTCTCTCTCTTATACAGCCATAGAAGGCATTATCCAAGATCGCCTAAATTACGAGAAAAGTCATATCATATTATTTTATTCATCTACTCACTGGTGGATCCCAATAAGACTTAGTCAGAACTTTATTAGAGTATTAGTCATGAATTTAATATAGAGGAATTGACCGCACATAACTAGTGATAGCTAGATTAATAAGGATGACTAGCTAACAACTAGTGTTCGTGAGAATATATTTGAACTGAAAACTGTCGTTCTTATATTCTTTAAATTAGCTGGTCCTCTTCTTACACATGGTATCGATAAAGACAAGACTATAGATTACAGCAATTCCGTCGAAAATTCTCTGAAGCCTTTTGTTAACGGAATATGAAAACAAACATTACAAAATTACGTGACGAGTATTGTTGACTTCATAGTGATTCAACGTTATTAATTATTAAACAAAACAAAGTATTAGCATAATGTCACATTCGCCATATTTGGAAGAACTGACACAATGTAATCTTTGATTAAATAAATGAAAAATGATTTTCTTATGCAGTTTTCAAGGTAGTTACAAATATTTGAGAAGAAGCATTCAAAAAGCAATTTTTAACTAATTGTTAGAGAGAAATGGACTTTGCATAAATAATCATAACAAGTATTTAAAACATTTAATAGAATAAAACTAAAACTATCACTTTATTTTTGGTTTGTTATTGAATACCCTCGAAACTGTTGATCAACCCTAAGTAGCTTATTTTCGAATGCTTGGACGATGTTCACAATAGAACAGTTCATTGTGACTTTATTATTTAATAAAGTGTCTTTTATACACATGGAACGATAGATTAGACTGTTTATATTACTAGATCTTAATCTATTTGATCATATTTAAGACAAACAATCGCATTGCTAAGTTTATTAAAAACTTAGTTTTTAACATAAAAGATTTCAATGTGAACACATGAGAAATAAGCTTCTATTTAAAATGTAAAGCCATTGTAGCAGATGTTTATTTGAGAAATGTCGTCATTCATATTATTCTGTGGCAAGGATCTATCTCAGATTGTAACAATATCTAGATGATACTGAGTATTGGTATTTCACCAAGAAAAATCAAACTTAAAAATTTCGAGAAACTAATTATAGATTCGGACCCCTTAAGCTCCGAAACCTTGAATCAAACTTTTCGGAAAAAATCACTAATTTCGAAAAAATAGTCTTTATCAATATTAATTGACATTATTGGATTCTAAGACCTTTCTGTTCTACAGCAAATTGTCTATTAATGATCATCTGAGTATTGCTAATTAAGAAGTAAAGGAAATAAAATTCTGCTTACTGCATAAATAAATTATTCAATCATAGAAAATAACAATTACTAAATAGGATAGATGTTTGATTATAAAATTTGTGATCTTTTGAAAAGAACAAATCTAAAAACATAAAGGATATTATTCTGTTGTTAGATATGAAAGAAAACATTTTCTATTCTATGAATTATTTGTATATGACCTCAAATAAAGTTCTTTAATATTCTAAAAATTTTAACATGAAATCTCTAAAATTAATTTCAACATTGAAAATGATAAAATTCTTAGTATATCTATAGCATCTATATCTACTATAGAAATTTAAGAAAAAGAATCTAATGTAATTCGGTTTGTTATTTGAAGATAAAATGAATATGATAATAAGTTAGATCAAAATTATTCTAATTGATTGTTCATTAAACAATTTTAATAATAAAGACTGTTAAATGTTTGCATCTACTTAAACCAATATTACATATTACACTAAGAACTAATCGAATAAAACGACCTTAGTTGAGACAAATCTTCGAGTCAACGATTCTGCCCTCAGAAAACAAACGGATTTCGTCGAAAAAATCATCATATCCGCGTGGATGACACTAGTAATAAATGAGCCATGAAATCAATATTTCGCATTTTTTTTTTATGACTTCGGGTCGTTAACGCATCGAAAATAAAAAGGAGGTGACTCGAAGTCGAAGAAAAAATCTAGAGATTTTCCGGCTCGAACTACTACTTCCAAATTACAATGATTTCACAATGTCTTCTTGGCGTAATCAAGATGTTGGCATTCAATTGAAATAATACACAGCTTAATTAACGAATAAGCATATTTAAATGTAATGCTAAATTCCAGAATATATAAAAAATCAACTCTTTACTATTCATAAATTGAAATATTTTCAAGAGACTTTCTCATATCTATAATGAATATTGAAAATATAAAAATTATCTTAATTTCGTTTCTACACAAAAAAAGAAACAGAATATTAAAAATAATTTTTCTATTGATAAACAAGTTCGATTTTATATTGAAAATGTCTTATGAAAAGGTGTGATTTCAAAGAGTACTATGGAACTGTTATTCAAAGATTGACATTGATTTACTTTTAATCAATTGATCGATTTAAAAACTTTTCTGTTTTCATGCAACTTGCATCTGTCCATTCTTTCTTTCTAAAAATTCAATTTCAAAGAAATGTACAAAACGCTTCTGTAGACGTCTAAGGTAATATTTTTCAGCGAATCTAGATATAAATCCGACAAAAACTCTGCGCAACTCCATTCATTATATACTGTATGTATAGTTCGATAGATT